AGCATCAGTGGCGTAGGGGTCTTGAAATGGAAGGGAGCTGATGGGATGTGAAGGTGGGGGATTGGTGATTAGGCGAGGGGGATAACTCGCAAAATAAGGTGATTTGAGGGGATTTTTAACTACTTGAGCATGATTTGTGGGTGGGGTGCGACTGGGAGATGGGCCAGTATTTTTTTTTTTTTTTTTGGGGGGGGCATGCGCGTCCCTCGCACATCCTAGATATGCCAATACCTAGCATACACTGCAATTTACCCTACGGTCCGCCACTGCTTAAACTATCTTTTAGACTTTTATTATATATACAAAACAAGTACAGTGACATAGACAATCTATTCAAATACAATAGTGTTTTTTTTATATTGATTTATGCCTATATCAGTTAATTTGCATGAGTTCAATATAAAAATGCTCCTTTATCAAATTGGAACACATTAAATATTAACAGTTCTACAATTTATTTATGTTCCATTAATAACTATTCCATAATTAAGTACAAAAATATATTCTATTATATTTTTTATCGAAATACATTTTCATTTGGAAAATACTGGAAACAAAATGTTCATTTATAAATTTTTCAGAAACAAATTGATACTGTTGATCTCTGTTAATATGACCCAGTTAATTATGTCTTTAAACTTTGTTCAAAAACATGATTAAAACAGAAATGCAATGATATATATACACACAATTTTAATAAATAAATGAAAGTCCAACTTGATTTCTATTACTTCATGCAAATATAAACACTGCCTGTTTATTGGAATTAACACTTTAAATTTGCATATCTGTGTTCATTTGCATCAGTAAAAATCAACATACAGTATCTAAAGTATATACGTATTGTACAGTAACGTATAAAGAAATGAAGTCAATAAGTATTGGCTCCATCACCAAAAGTTGGTCTTGTATAACATCCAGGGCAGAATAATGAAGGCAATGTGACATTTTAATAAATTTGTATAATACATGTACAATATAAAAGAGCACTTGGGTATTAAGCTACTTTTGCATAATTGAAATAATGTAATCATGTTTTTGAACATACCAATCAATGGTATAATCAAAAGTGGCACAAAAGCTAATTAAATTAATAAAACTCTAAATTATAAAAAGAGTTGATTGATTAGAACTTGCTCCACAAAATCAAAAACAAGTTCTTGCTATGGCAGTACTATCAATAACAACAGGAATGGAAAGTTTTGCGGTTTTAAATGTTTCTAATTATGTTTATGTAATCATTAATTTGGCAATTTCAACAACCATGAAGAACAGCATTCATTTGTCAATGACAGTCATGTTTTACCATGAATGACAAATTTATTAATTATTTAATTATTAAATAAATAATTCTATAAGTTTTTTTTATTTTATAATAACAGGAAAATTTATAAAGCGCAATCCTTTAATCAATTTAAAAGTTTATTTATCATGCTTATATATTAAACAGATGACACTAATTTCCTTCTTTGTACAATTTCTTGTTGTCGTTTGTATTCATTGAATTCTTCCTTCAGTCTAGCAAACCACTGTTCTTCCTTCATACTGTCATTTGGTGATTCAATAACCAAGTTGTTGGGAAAGTGAACTAGTGGTTTCTCATTAATCCTTCCTTGTCTTGACCCAACATGCACTTCATACCTACGCTCTTGTGAAATGTCTGTGAAACCTCTAAAGGGATCTTCGTACGTACTGAAGGTATCGATAACCCGTAGAGGCTCATCAAACGTGCTATCCGAGGAACTGTTAGGCACATACACTCTGTTGCTCAGTACACTATCATTGCGGCCACGTATGGAAACGCTTTCAGATGTATTCCGACTACTGTACCCACTACTGCCCTGACTGTACGGGGAGAGCGGACCAGCTGAATTTGATGGCCTAGGACTGACATTGTTGATAGAGGGTGCCATGCTTCCTACACCACTTGTCGATGAAGACACACCACTGTAGTTTGGTGATACCTCCAAATTGTCATTGTTGTCCACTGAATGTTGGCTATATGGTAGGCTTATCACTGGCAGTCTTTCAGCATAGGATAGCTTATACCTCGATGGCAGACTGAAGTCTGAAAGAGGAAATATGTAATTTTAATTATTGTATTATCATTCAACAATCATAACCATTTAATAAACTCACTTACAACATTGTTGGGTATTATAAACTTACCTTGACTTTCTCTTTTATAACTCCTTTCATTAAGTGATCCATATGCCCTCGGATTTATTGTAGATCTACTATTCATGTAAGACAATCTATCATGGTTCAAATCCCTTGCACTCCTTCTTGACAGATCTCCAACTGACCGAACTTTCCTTCTGTCTAGTGAATAATGATTGTCTGATTGTGATAAACGTGGTACATCAATCTCTTGAGTCCTTCGCCTCCTCTTTAAACATGGTGCAGTCCTTTTGTACTCATCGTTTCTACACATTATTTGCCTGGAATGTTCCATTACTGGTTCTGAAGGGGTAATAATTTTCTGGTGATGGATATCAGCAGATATTTTCTGTGATGAAGGTGGGTCAATAGAAGATTCACGAATCAAACTGGAATTACTCAAAGTCCTCCGACGAGGAACTTTTTGTTCTCGCCGATAAAATTCTGAAGAAACTGGGGATGCAATCCTCTCTCTTCGAATATAATTAGTACTGTTATCTCCACGTAAAACAAACAATCCTGTTGATTGGTTATTTGGATAGCTACGCGCTCTTTGGTTTGAAAAATCTCTGTTACCAGAGTACTGTTTTTTTCTTTGGGCGTTTAGCATAGAAAATTCTCTCATAGTCATAGTATGGTCCTCTACACCAGAATGTATATTTAAATTTTCATCCCTCCTTACATTGTAACTGTCTTTTTGAGGAATGTAGCGTGTACGATCATCCTTTAATCTACCGGAACTACTTTCTAGATAATCCAAACGTGTTGCAGACAAACGTACAGTGCTTACATTTTCTGATGCAAAACTTGACTGAGTAATATCATTTAATGGACTACTTGTTGTGAATACATAGCCATGTTTATTATTAGCACCGGTGGGGATTCTTACAGAGGATTGCGATTGTTCAATATTTCGGCCAATAGCCTGCTGCAATGGCCTTGAGTGACCATATGAGAACTGCGGAGGTGGAACAATTACTTCATCGTCAATACTGACTTCCAATGCATATTCACCTATATATAAACAAATAAATTCAATTAGCAATTATATAAAATGGCTTAATGTGAGCTTAAGTACCTTACTATAGTTTTTTCTACTTACTTGTACCAAGTACCTCATCTGGTCTAGATGACAGCATTGTCCGATTCCAATTGTTTCCACCTTGAAACTCCTCTCCCCTATCCGCACCCTCTAGCACCCTCTCTGGTACACTATGATCTACAACCGATGGCTCCGAAGTCACTTCAAAAAGCAGAGACCGTGGAGACTTTCGAATAAGTTTATTTTTGGGCCTTGATTTCTGAAGAACACGCTGTTTTAAACCATTATGTGGAGTGTCATGATTTTTAGTTTTTGAAGGATTTATTTTGACAGGACTAAATTTAGCTTTCAAACTCGAGTAACTTTCCTTAAAGGGTAGAGTAAAGGAGGGCGCCGGCCTGCAAATAAAAAGAGATTTGCAATGGTAATTGATCATTAGTGATTGTTAAAGACTGCTAAAAAAAAGTCAGCAAAAGTGCAATGACTAAATGTTGTAAGTTACACTCTTTGTAGAAAAAATATTGAAAACCGTCAAAAAATCCAATTTAAACATTAAATTGCACATTAGTGTCAAATAAGTTATCAACGTCTAATGAGACAGGTCATCATCAAATTTTCTTTGGACAAAAACTTTTGTATGCCCATATATAGTCATAATGTGCCTATATATGGTCATGATGACATCACATACAGTATATACATGTCACATGCTTTTTTATAATAAAAATTTGATAGTGTGGACAGGATTTAAGATCCCATTCAAAAAATGATAGGAATGGTATTATCAATGTATCAGTATATTAACTGGATATGCACAACAGTATTTAAGTAAGATACTTTGTTTTATATTAAATATACATGGGTTACACATTTTGAAGATGACTAGGGTGAATACGAAAGTGCTATTCCCAATGGAATGGAAAATGCAATGATATGGATGTGTATAATTCCTCCGTATCACACAGGGGTGGTGCCAGGATGTCCCCAACGAAGGAGGAAATTCCCCAGACAATAGCAAAAACTAATGTTTCGAAAGTGGTCTAGGGGGCTCCCCAGCGAATTGTGGTTTTCTCCACGATGGGAAGGGGAGGGGGACCACCCCTGCATCACACACTATTGTATCTCACTACTTATAATAGTTGTCACCCTTGGTATCACATGTTGCATTATTATGCAGTAGTACTATTAATTCCCCGGGAAAGGGTTTATTTGCATAGCATAATTTTTCTATCCTATTAAATATCTGCCTCTATTAATTAATACAGGAGAAATATAGAGCAGTGTTATTGGATAGATATTATCACATGATAGTTATACCAGTTTGGTTACAAGTTCAAACTAAAAAGTGGTTAATAAAGAAAAGTAAAAGTTCCATGTTATTAGAGAAAAGGTAACTACAAAGCACATCAAAGGAATAAGGTAGAAGTAAAGTTAGGACAAGACAATCAGAAGACATTTAAGCCCTATGTAATTCTAAATAAATCTCCTTTCAAAATAGAGATAATGAATTTGAAAACATCAACATTTTTAAAAGTAGATGATTAAAAACAAACTGAAATGTAGATTTACAAAAAGAAAAATAAGGAGTGGGGGATAAAATATATATTTTATTACAATGCAATGACTACATGCTATTGGTTTGTATTTTGTATGCCTATATAAAGAATATTTTCATTTTTAAGGTTACTTAATATTATTTATCAAGAATGTGTGTCCTATCAAGAACATCATGTTACACACTATGTCAAAATGTCATAGACCTAGCATGCAGACAATGAAAATGTGATAATACGCAAACATTTGACATCAACTATCATTGGGCTTGTGAATGCAACTAGATCAAATTAATTAAAATCAATAACAACTATAAAAGTGCTAGGTCCTTAATAAATCTACTGTACTTTGAGGATGATGTAATGTGTCTTGGAATTAAAAAAAAAAATTAAATTAAAAAATTTAATCATATAAATATAGAACTTATTAATTTCTAACAGAACTGACAGCAAAAATGCAAATCATATACACCGAACAATTAATAAAGGTTAACAAAAATCACCAATTAATAAACACTTCAAAAATGTTAGCCAATGAAAATGAAATTGTATATTAATAAATAATTATTGTTTGTTGTTGGGTTAATGCATATTGGACATATATGGTTAATACAAGATTACAGCTGTGATGTTAGTGCTTCAAAATATTAGTGCTTTGAACTGGTTATATCTGACAGAACACACATGTAGTCATGCTCCCCTTAAAAAAACTTGAAAACCATGATTAGTCTATCAGATATATCCAGCCAATCATGTCGCTGGTTATAAAGAGGGTATTAACCAATCACAACATGGGCAGGCATACTACACTTACGTTGCTGGTGACCTATGAACTTGTTGTACATAAGATGGAAGACCTGTAAGACATATGCGTGACGTAAGCACTTCAGCAAGGAGACTAAAGCCTAGCGACAAACTACTGTAATGATTATCATAGATATTTTCTTAGCAACCATACACTATATACACTAAATATAAGCGTCACAAAATATACATTAGTTGCCAGGTTATGTATAATTTTTACAAAATTTCTGTACAAAAAAATTATCAATCACAGTTAGTAATGATTTATAATATTTAATGTGATTAAATATATAAATTAAAATCGATAAACACTTCTTTCAAATCACATAAGTACTACTAAAGTATATAAGTTATTATATAAATAAGAATATAAGACAATCTTCTATAATTGACTATATATCTTGATATAATTTAAAGTTTATTTTGGGATCAGTGTGAAAACCATTGGCGCAGATTATGAGAGAGACAGGAACATGATCTCATTTTAAAAATGTAATATCCCTACATATTACGTTCTGCCAAAAGCTCTCAATGAATCTGCACCCTTGGTCAGAACCAATATATCATCATGCTATTAAAAAAGAAGTCTAATATAGTATAGTAAGATAATACCAGACCTATAGCTGGTTATGTGCACACACCTCTACAAAATGTATGTGAGCCTACTGCATTTTTCGAATACATACTGAAATCCTCATGCAAGGAAAAGCAAAGCAAGTCAGCCTTTATTTTTAAATTTTTCACTGGGCTTTTTATGTATAAGCCTAAGAAAAGTCTTAATTTAAACATCATTTGCATATTGTACCTCTGTAAATGCAAATAATCAAGAAATATTTACATACCTATTTAATATGCAAACAATGATAAAACTAATTTCCAATTTTTTATGTGGAATAAAAATTTAATAATATGCAATAATATTTTGCATATTTTTCACAAATGTGTTTATGAATGTAATAACGTTAATTAAAGTTAACGCTTGATAACATCTACATGAAAACAATACTAACAACATGTTATTAGCAGACAGATGTTTACAATGACATAATTAGATGAAGATACAGCTATGTAAACATGTTGATGACTAACTGATTTAACGATGCCCACTAACATACTACAGTAATCAGCGAATGGTGAGACATTTGTTACTGTTCTCTCAGAGAAATTATCTTAAAAATCTACCATACTAGTAGTTAGGATAAATGCACAGTACAATAGATTTACCACAAAAATATAACAATGCTAAAAACATGTGAATCAAACAGCACCGCACAAGCACCAAATCAAATTTCCAAAAATCTTTTGGGATCCTGATGGAATCAAATTTTTGAATAAAACATTCCCAGAGTGAAGAGACTAATACAAAAAATCAAATTAAAAAATGCTTTGATAAAAATAACACCAACTTCTAATTCCTAAAGATGTATAGTAACCCAGTTCAACAGGACGTCCATGAGTAGATGTTAACATACCTAGAATTTCTTGGAGTGCTCTCTTTTTCTGCCTTCGTCGACGGACGATGATGATCGCTATAATCATCAGTACAAGAGCAATTATGAGGAAGACCAAACCAGATATGATGCCTGCCAGGACTGATCCCTCTAATCCACCACCATCCTCTGTGATCACATATGCAGAAATATCTGAAGGAATTAGAAGGAATTGATTGAGATTTCTAAAATTATTTCTTTAATAAAATGATATGATCATGAGTGTAGATCATGATATGATCATGAGTGTAGATCAAGTGATACACTTTACAGTGAATGTTTTCGTTGACTTGAAAAAATAAAAATTAATATGTGAATTGCTAAAGGATGTGCAGTGGAGATAGCTTGGTGGTTCAGATACTACATTTTCTTACCTCCGGTGAATCCTGTCACAATATTACTTGGCAAACTAAATGATCCAGGAGTGAATGCAAACATTCGGAAATCATACCACGTCTCACTTTTAAGACCCAGCAATGTAACCTCTCTAGCTTCTGAGGAAATGTCTGGAATGAGAACGGCCCATTCCATTTCACCATTTATGCGATACTCTGCGGTGTACAAGCTGACCAATTCTGGGTACTCCAAAGGAGTCTCCCAGTGGAGTACTAAGCCTGATGGAGTACTGTTGATAAACACAGATCTTGGAGGACTTGGGCTTAGGACTATGATTAAAAATACAACAGACCATTTTATTCTTATATAGAGCACAATACAATGCTCTTATATGATTTTTATGAAGAAATGACAAGGAATGGAAGTTATAATAAAAATAAATTGCAAACTATAATACTCTAGCATTTACAAAAAAGGAAATCTAAAAGATTAATGTATACATAATATGCTGGTGGCAACATACCCAAGTTATTGCTATATTTTTAGTATGTGTTACATTAGTGAGTATTAGACGTAAACATTAGACATAATTAACAAAAGTGCTGTATTGAGAAATGATTATTATGACAACTAATAAAGAATGGAGTACAAAGAAAAAATGGATGATAGGATTACTATATAAGAGTATAGCATTATGCTTTTTTGTAATAAAATTTGGCCTGGTAAATAATAATGATAATAATAATAACAATAATAATAAAAGATATGTATTAAAAGAGAGAAAATGACTGTTAAATGAAAGTACAGTACTGAATGAAGGATGAAATTAACTAATAAGGCTGGCTACCAGTGCAAGCATCTTGAGTTTGAAATACAGTCATATCATTTATAGTAGTCAATTTTAGTACTGAGACGAAGAGTAATCTGGGAAGGTATAATGAGCGCATACATAATTATATTTATAATATCTAGATCCCATCAAATTCAATATCAATCAACTGAAATTGTTGCCGATTTATCTTTTGCGCAATTAATTCGAAACAAGCTAGCACATACAAACACATTATCACATTCAATCTTGCGATAACTATAATACAATGCAGTATTGTACACCATTAGGATATGGTCCCACATTACTCATCTACTTAAAACTAAAACTCACTATGGTTACAATGATAGTATGCATTTAAATCCCACAATGCTATGCACTGATTTTCTGACCATACCACATCCCTGTTGTTATAGGTAGTTTTGTATATGATTGAGCAGAACTTACCGCTCCAAGGAGGGACAATGGTTCGACCTGAAGAGTCAGTAGGAACGATTAAGTTATCAGGATCTGTGTGTAATGTAAGAGAGATGACAGAGAAAGGCATCAAAGCAAGGATATTTAAATAAAAACAAGAAAAAAGAATAGAAACACAAGTTTGAATCAAACATTAGTAATAGTGAAGATTATTATTATCATGCAACTATTAGTATGAGATGGTTATGTGTACTATTAATCATATTCATATGTTCATAAGTTTTTGTTTGGTAGTTTTGATGTCATTAGTAATAGAATCAATTTTAACATTTTTTGGCAATTTTTGTGAGTACTGCCATCTCTGGGGCAGTAGACTTTTCAATCCCAAAGCGTAACACTGGTGTAACGCTGCTAAAGGGGCAAAATCGTAATGGCCTATAACTTCATAAAAAAATTGCCAAAAAATGATTTTTAAAGTTGATTCTATTACTAGTGATATATCAAAATCCCCTCTAGAAAAAAAAATCATCTTTCTAGTTCCCTTTTAAGAGCTCACTAAACAATTATAAAACACATTAAAGACCAACATTTCCAAAAGAAAAAAAGAAAACCATGTAAAACCGGTATTTCAATATCTACCTACTGCAGAAGCCTTTCTTGAATGTGGTACTTAATTATTACAATTTCGTTGAAAATACCAAATATCGCAACTTTTTATTTTCGCAATGAAATATGGTCTAAAAAATTATTTTTGTAATAACTCATCAACATTATGTGAAATTAATTTTCTCTATGTAATTTCTGAATGGCAAATAAATCACATATGATTTAATGTTTATTATACTGAATTATGATCAAGAATCTTGGTTAGGAAAGGTGTTTTGATGACAAATTTAGAATTAACTCTTACATACAGAAATAAAGTAAATTAAGTAGGAATCCTATATCATCAAGATGAAAGCGTCATAACAATTATTATGTTACAACTTTCCTTTGTTTCCAAATCATTGCTAAAAGTAGTGCACTGATAATTAAACAATATCTCCTAATATTTAATTTATTTAAATTCCTTTTATTTTCCTAAACTCATTTTACCTAAATTACAATTCAATTCAAAAATAATCCTTTTATCTTCTTTGTATCCTGATGTTTTCCATTATAATTCATTATTATGTACTTTTTCAAATTTGCTTTGCAGAATACAGCTTTTAGACTTGTGAGCATGACATTCATTGGCATTTATTTGATTATTTTTCCACTTAGTTTAGCTACATATTAATTCACCGATTACTTTCTTTTATTAGTAGCATGGTTTACAGAATATGGGACATTAAAAATAGGAATAATAAATAGTCTGTAAGGACATTTTCTTTTTTTCCCATCGTCAACTAATCTGTAAGTCAAGAGCGGCAAACAGACTGCAATATGCGAACAAGCAGAATGAATGAATGAATACACTTGATATGATACAATTTCTCAAATGTTAAGTAACGCTCAGAACCCACGCAGTTGGCAACACCATCAGTAACAATAATGTTTGTAAGGACTTTCTCATTAATCATAATATTATAAATAGTTTATATATTTTCACTCTATAAATAGCTCACATAGCAGTAATTAATTGACTTGTACTTAATGGGTTGAAAATAATTAAAATAGCAAGATAGTTGAATTATGAGAAATGTATATTGCAACATGTTTTAGATTATGCAGACAAAATAATTATTTTTATGTATAGAAATTGAACTAGAACATTAATTAGTGTCCACATTTCTCCCTTTTTAGTAAACATGCATGGTTAGTTATATAGGTCTCCCTCCAAATAAAGACCACTTTTGGACCGTTTTCATGGTATTTAGCAGCTCTGGTCTCTAATTAGAATAATATATATTTATTTTATTTTATTACAAAATTTTAGGAAAAACATACAATGCTCTCCATGGATAACAAAAAGTGAGACAATATCCAGGGTTTTCCAAGGCATCTTAAAATTTTTTTTAAATTGCAACATATACAGGAAAATTAATTTTTTGATAAACAAATTTTAGAAGTTGTATAAAAATATAGTTAGTAAGATAAAAAGCATTCGTTAATTTGGGACCTCAGAAAAGCGGTTTTATAATTGGAGGGTCAACAGAGGGAGACCTATATTATCATTGTAAGTATAGAATGGAAAATAATAATAAACATATAAACTATAAATAAAAAACACATGATTTAAACATAAATGTCACACAATTGCAACAAATATCCAAAAATCTTACAAATATATGAGAAAGAAAACAAAAAAAATATATGAGTTAAGAATATATTGACTATTTTCCAGGCACTTCCTTACCTTTGGTGCTAGCAATAACCACCTCACTAAACATGCTCTTGCCAAGTACATTACTAGAGATGACACTAAACTCATACTGTGTATTGGGTCGGAGGTTATACAACGTCGCTGATGTGACATCCTCAGGGAGAAGAGGAAGGGTGTTCCATTGGGAATCTTGAACATTGTGAGTGCGGAACCTGTAAATGTCATTAGTGTACAAAGATTAGAAATGCAAAGCAAAGTACACAAGCCTGTATGTATATATACTATAATATTACTTAGTTAATTAAATTTCTGCAAATTGAGTTCTCCGCTAATTAAGTGATTACTTTACATATTCTTACTGGGATGCAATTATGCAATGCTGTTTTGTGTAACGAATTGCAAAATAATTATATATTTTTACTCTAGATTATTGTGATAAATTTATAAATAGTTTTATTTATTTGTTTTAATAATTATAAGGAAGTGTTAAATAGGTGAAGGGTCAAGACATACCAGACAGTGTAACTCTGAACCAGTCCTCCATCATATGCCGGTTGCCAGTAAATTGTTGCTGTTCTACTTGATGTTACCACAGAAACATTGTAAGGAGCATGAGGTGAAGTTTCTGCATGAGATAATATTCATTAATCATCCAACATTAGTACAACATTAAATGTGTCTCCAAAAGTACATAACTCATCCATTCCTAAATCTTCCCAACCACAAAAGTTATTCGTTCCCTAAAGTTGTTCCCCATTCCTTAAGTCACTCCTAATCCACATTTTTTGAATTGTAATTAATTCCATTAACTCCATCATATACATTATACACATCTTCCCATTTCCATTACTCACACATTTCCATTAGTCACACACTCCCTAGAAAATTCATTCTCACTTAATAGTCATCTACCCCTGCACTCCCTAAGTCATTCCCTATCCACATTAATCATCTATTCCTTGACAGACATCCACAATCAACTTAGTCATCCCTTATCCACATAAGTTACCAAGTTTTATGTCATCCCATATAAACATTACTCATCCAATTCCTGAGTCATTCTTCATCCACACTATTCCATTATCTAAGTCATAGGCCTACAGTAACTAATGTACATTACCACAGTCATATATTCTCACAAGAAATTATTCTTTAAATTTAATTTCAATTTTTACCTATTTAATTTTAAAAGTACTAAATTTGTGTAAATTATAAATCACCAAATTTAACTGTAATATATGGTTGACTCTCACAACAAATTCATCCTTTAGACAGTTTAAGTATCATTAGCTTTCCATCTAATGCTTGGTACTGTAGCAGACATCATATAGCCTCAAAATAGACTTTGACAACATTACAAATTGATGATTTCAACTGCTAGACCAAATACAGATTGACTTACGTTCAATTATCAGCTTTGTACTCGTCACAAGCGTTGTAACTACGTTGCTGATGATGCATTCATACACTCCATGATCCTCCTTACGTAGCTGGACTATCTTTAGAACGTCATTCTGCGTGACTACACGTGAACTGGGCAGTGAACCAACAACCTATAAAAAGGTGATTAAGAAGTGTAGACGCGTTAGCCTAAATAATACAAATGATGAGATCTCAGCAATTTAAAGACTTAGCATTTTAATTAATTAAAGCCTCTAGCTTTCCTCCACACAATAGACTTCTTCAGAAGGCTGTAAACAAAACAAAAAAAGCTAAAATTTCAGACCAAATTAAAGAAAATAATCACAAAATTACTACCAACAATATTGGTCTATTGTTTGCATTTTCAAACATGGAAATATTTAGCTAAAGGGCTGAAATGATCATCTGGCAGATAAGACAGTTAGGTCATTGGTCCTTAATTGCTTTTTTGCATGTTTCAGAACTCATACACTTATTGGCAAAGAGTTTTCTAAACTGCCAAGTCCTTGGATGTACAAACCAATCCACCAACTAATTTAAGAAATTCATGTCGCCTGCTTGGAAATAATCTTCTCACAAACATATCATTAAAAGCACATACCTAGCTGTCACATTTCAAAAACAATCTTCTGTTGCTATAAAACTCATTAAGCAAATAAACCAATTTCAACTTACAAATTATCCATTACTTATGATAAATTGGAACAATAAAGAAGAAATTGCCTACCTCAACTATAATTAAATGACAAATATATGAAATATGAGATGATTTGAAAAAATGTAGTCATTATTATTGATGATGAATCCACCATTACCAAATAATATAAATTATGAAAAATGATGGTCACAAAAATGTGTAAAAAGTATGTAAAGCTAAAAAATATTTTATCAATATTATTTTCACACATATTTTCTTTAAAATTTGAGCAGTCTTTAGGCATTATGCCTTATATTATCTTTCACTTGTCATTATATAGATTTCGTGCAAATACAGACCTCTAAGCATTTTTTCCTCTGGTAAATAAGACACATGCATGCTACACAAATGTATTACTTACTAATAGACAAATTGACGGACAGGAGGATATCATAGAACCTTTCCTTACCTTTTGCCATCTTACTGTTGGTGGAGGCGAACCCGATGCAGTACAGGGTATGCTAACTTCCTCTCCAGGCATTCTCTGGTAGTAAGCTTTTGGCCTTGTTGTAAATATTGGTGCATCTGTATTGGAAAATTGGATTTAATATTTAAACAAATTAATGTTTTGTAAATCTACAAAATCAAAGCATAGCAAAGAGAATGTTAGTGCATGATACCACAATGTACTGCACAGTTTTTGTTTTTTTTTAAATATTTATGTGTAGTATAGTGTAATACACTAATATATATTTTTTCGAATAATTTCATTAGGTTTTTAATGTAGGTATTGATTATAGAGATCTTAATTTAAAACCAAGTTAATATATATATATTTTAATTGTTCTTAAATTAAGAATTCCACAATCAACACTAGGATTTACCCTACAAATCAATGGGTATTTTTTTCTCCCATCCCTTTCCACTTAATAACCTCTAGGCACTTAAACATAAAGCAGCGATGCAGGAGATGGTGACATTCAAGTGGTCTCACCCACCGATGTCAAAGTAACGTCGCTGTCTCAATGAGGCAATTTACAAGCAGGTAATCCACAAAAGGCAGCATGCTGGGCTCCGGCACTTTCCACCACAGGATCCTTCCCTCATTCTCTACGAATTTCTAAGTCTTTGTGAGATAAATGTTTTCAAGATTGAATGTCGACTTAGCATGTCTGTCTGCACTAGATTTCAATAAGAACATGGAGCCTCATTTCCTAGTCTATTCCAGTACATGTGACAAACATTGAATGCAAGCACTTAAAAGTTATTAAAAAAACCAGTTCAACAATCTGAGTAACTAATGATGTGATCGCCATGGTTACCAACCTCTCACGAGCAGATATGTGCTGCCACTCTCCCCAGCCGATCCAAGTGCGTTGTATGGCTGACAGGAGTAAAAGCCTTCATCGCTATGTTGAACATTGTCAATAGTTAGTGAGCCGGACTTACTAAGTTTCAGCCTAAAAATACAAAATGGAAATTAATAAATGATCTCTCCATTCATTCAAAACTGAGGATTCACCGTGTTTCTCAATACTAAATTTTTTCTCTTAACGATCACAACTCGACTTGCTGCTCCTTGAAACTGCATGTTCTGTTGTCTTGTTTGTAGGCGTTTGTGCTGTGTGTTAGTGTGTTGTTCGTTTGTCTGGGTCTGTGTGTGTCCAGGCCTGTCCATTATAAGATTTTTTTCAAATCTTCTCGGGCTAGTGCCTTCTTCCTTTTGAATTTTTCCTCATTAACCGATTTTTGTATTTTTCTGTATGATTGCAATTGGAAGTTAATAAATGTCTATTGAATTGAAAAAAAATTGACAAAATACTATTTGCATAAAATAGGCATTATATTTTGATTAATGGTTCAATAATAAAATCTGAATAAATAATTACAGTGGCATACCTAAGAAAATAGGAAGTACCTTTTCCTGAAAAATCATGTCCCCCATTATCTTAACAGGTCAAATTGATTTTTTAAAAAATTTGAAACAAAAATATAAGAATTTTTCTTACAACAAGAGTGACAAAACAACCATCTATCAGAATGAATTAATAGCATTTAGCAAGTTTGGTGGTCACTCCATACTTCTTTAAATAACACCAGCTGTAAAGCATCTAGCCTAGTCAACCAGTAATAAAGAATAAATTTAACAATCCCCTGTTTTTGTTGGGAGTGACAGAAGTAGTATTTTTATTAGGTTCACACCTTGAGAATAAGAGGCCAGGTTTTTCTAAAACGTCTTGGGTAAAGTGCTTCCACATTGGCAAACCCAAACAAACAACCTTCTAAATTCAGGAGGCAAAATTTGTCCCTGGACATCTCAACTGTTGTTTGTAATTGGAAATGCAAGAAAAGGTGATAAATCAGTAACAATAAATAGGTAGAAATGGCTGGCGTTTGATGATGCCCAATAGGGCTATAAAATCACATCACCTACTATAAAAAAAAAACAAGTAGGCTTGCCAAATGTAGTTATGCACTTGTCTTGTTTGAATATAGTCACATTTACATGTATTCTTTGATACGATTTATGAACTAATATATGTCAGGCCTGTCATCTAAATGTTAACTTTATCAAAATCTCCACAAAATGATTGCTTGAATAATCATTAAATATTTTTTTACTGAGAGTAATGAGACTTCACAAGTAAACTATAAAATATTAGCATACTGAATAAAAAAAAATGTTGTAAATCACATTAAAAAAAAATATTAATTACCTTTCCTCTGTTCTAGGGTATAACATGGTGCTATCCTTGCGCCAGATTGTATTTGAGATGGCTGGGTTCGAGTCAGCATGACAGTTAAGAGTAATGGGATAACCTAGGGCTCCGACTACTTCACTTGGCATAGGCAGGGGTGTGGCTAAATCTGATAAATTTTGAAAGAATATAATAGTGTTTTTGACTTCTAATCCATTAGTAAAATTTTGAGTTTAAGTTTATAAATAAGTTGAGTAGAAAATCAAAGTTATTTTAATATGATAGAAGCATTCCTAGCATATTAATTTTTTAAAATTCAACGTTCTTTGATAACCAAGCTATTACACTAAAAAAAAAAAGTAAGAGTCTATCATTATCATTATAATGTGAATAAATAAATTTCAATTTTATTTAATGTTTTTAATGTTCAGAGCATTAATTAAATGATAATCATAAACACATCATTAGATATGTGATTCATGTCAATGTCAATGGTAAAAAAGAATCATTTTTCTTTACTAACATAAAATTCAATACAGTTGAACTTACCTAAGTTGAATAAAAAATGAAATTGAGAAATTGTTCGACTTAGATAAAAATTTGACTTACAGATTGTTCATTAAGGGAAAACACAACAATCTGCCATGTAAAATAAGATCAACTTAGAAATTATTCGAGTTAGGCAAAGTTGACTTAAGCAAGTTTAACTGTATAGTGTTAATAACAAAAAAACAAAAAAATATACAGCTTTTTTTTTTATGGTAAGCAAATTAAATTTTGATATAATTTATAAATACCGATTTAATATGGTACAGTAACTTACACTGAACAGATAGGAAAGCCTTTGCTCTTGGTGGTGTACCAATACCGTTGCTTGGGCTGCAAGTGTACCAACCAGAAAACGCTTTATCTGTGTTCCCAATGTACAGCGACCCATCTCCCGGCAGGATATCAGCGTAGAGTCCAAACTTTGCAAGTGCTTGTACTGGTCCATCATCGTAGTACCAGTTTACGGTCACATTATTCGGAGATGCATCCCAACCACATTTGAACATGGCTGGCAAATGCTCACGTACTGTTATATTTTGTGGAGGGTCGATTATGTAAGGAGCACCTATTTGAAAGTTTTAAAACAATTATTAATAATTGTGTAATGTATTTCATCATGATTTAGACTATTCCATTACTATATACCATCTTCGCCGCACCTCAACATGGGGTAAGATTCTATTAAGGCGCAGTTATTGGTCATCCAAAATTACCAATATTGCCTTTCTTGAAGACTCTGTAGCCTATGACCAGGATAACATAAGTCCTATAATTCGGCACTGATGTCCCATTGACCAAAAAAATACTTGCCTTGTAAAATAAGGAGCATTGTGTGTTCTGATGTACCGAGGGCATTCTCTGCTTGGCAAGTGTATAATCCGCCATCACGTAACTCCAAGTGACGAATGATAAACGAATCAGATGTTACTTCAAAATGATTCTCCATGGTAATTGGTTGATTGTCTTTCAACCATGTGACCACTGTTGATGATGGCGAGTCAGTAATGCAGAAAAAGGTTACTCTTGAGCCAATTCCGAAAACTGTACGATCCGGTGAGGTGCTCAGAAATACTGGGGGTGCTGTAACGTGAAGCAGAAAGATTGGTCAGTTAAATGATATGATTTGCAGACTTTTAAACGGGCTGCAGGGTATTCAATTTGAGAATTTTTATAGCAAATATGGGTCAAGGAGGCAGAAGATATTGTATATACTCTTTTATCTTGTTATATACTTATTTATCTTTTAAATTGTAAACACTTAATTGTGAACATAAATAAAAAGTTCATGGACAACATTAAGCAAATTAATGATTTTAGCATTAAGGAGTTAACACCTGCAGTTATACAAGTTTTAGTAGCACAGTGGTCCTATGCACATGCTCATGGTTCACAGCTTAATGGCTTAAAAATCCATGCATGTCATTCCTTCTTTATATTAAGTGTCATTGGGCATTTTATTGATTTACTTCTTTCCACCCAGGAATTTTAACTGTGTACCAGGTTGGATCAAGGCAGTATTACTTGGTTTGGTAAATGTTTCTATAAGCAGAGCTTTGCTATTAATACCTTCAAGGATGTACACCTGGCGAAAAATGGCTATCAAATCAATTTATGGAGTAAAGACATACACTTTTTTTTATAAGAACCAGTAAAATTTTGCCCAGGCTCAGTGTTCTTATTTTTTGGCCGATTTCAGACTCAAAATGTTCTAAATTTGTTCTTATTTTACACACTTTTCAAAAATAAAAAATTATTATTGTACAGCAAAAATGGGCCCTGAAAAAATGCCCTGGAAAAATTGCCTCAGAAAAAAGGCCTGGTAAAAATGGCCCCAAATGACAGTACACCTGATTATAGGGGATATTACATTAGTCACACCTACATTACTGCACATAAGATACACATACTATTTTTTGGTTTTTCAAAAACCTCATTTGGCATTTTACCTCAGCCTCAATTTGTTCTTAATTTTTAAGCAATTCCAGCCTCAGTGTTCTTATAAAATGTGTTCTTATGAAAAAAAAAGTTTATACGCCTACAGTACAGTATAGACAAGGATATCTGATGTTAAATGAATCAAGAGCTTTTCTTCTCTTATTTTTTCCCACTTGATTTCATGTTAAAATTTGAAATTGTAAATTTTGGCAGGTTCCCTGGGGATCTGCATAAGCCCCATAATGCTGTACCAGTACCAACATGTTATAAACTGCAGTAGTCTTTTTTCCCGCCTAACTTCCATGTGAGAGTTCTTCAAGGAAATAATCAATTAAAACCAGATGCTATTGAGTTTGAATTCAGTAAAAAATTGGCCAAATGCGCACCGTGACTCTATGTGCATTTTGGCCATTTTTGCGACAGGCATAATTCCTCACCCTTCCCTTAAAAATCATGTTCTATTTATTTGGCCTTTGCAAGAGGAGGTCATGCCTTTTAGGAGGATCATGATGATAGACACGAGGTGTGATGTATACTGGTGTAATTGATACCTGGTTGTTTGTATTTGTAGAGTTATCTGTCATTATCTACTTAAAAATTCAAGGGTGAGCTGACAATGCATTGTTTCAAAAGAAAATCAAAGAAGATTAATTAAGCAGATAACTATTAATCAAGAGCTATTTGTTTGTGGTATGTTCACCTTGGGACAGTGACCTTAAAAGTTGGTTTACAATGTTGTAATTATATATTTCTTATGATGAATGAAAGTTCTATTCATTTTTTATCAATAGATTAAAGAGCGTTTGTTGTCAATAACACATTCCGGATATAGTTCAACATTTTCCCACATGAAAATAAACACATAACATCAGTTTAAAAATGCCAAACACACATCACTGATCAGATTTTGGTGTATGGCCTTATTTGTTGGTTGAAAATACAAACATCCTAATCCCCCCAATCTAGAATTGGCCACAGCAGTCAAACATGTGCATATAAGCTTTGTCCATGCTATTAACTTTATGTTAATGTGATGTGCACATATATGGGCATGATAATGCCATATTACACCCAAATATGGGCATATCACATTTAGTTGTCCCAGAAAATTTGATAGTGTGGACTGCTCTAGTGTGGACAGAGCAGTCCAGACTATCAAATTTTATTTGACAACTAAATGTGACATGCCTAAATATGGTCATGATGACATCACATGACCATATATAGGCATATCCTGACTATATATGGGCATAGAACAGTTTTTTGTTGAAGAAAATCTGATAGTCTAGATAGGGTTTAGACCAGCACTGAATCACATGGCATAGAACTGATTCATCATATATTCTTATCATGCATTCACAATATTTATTTCATAATTAAGTGCAGAATTGAGACAGTTAAATCCTCGAGTACAACCTAGTTTCATAAAAAAAAACAAGCCTGTAGCTATTACTGCCATTAAATTCTACCTGAAATATGTATACATATCAATATTCATTTATTTTCCAGAACATCAAGTATGCGTAACATAGTTTGATACTATTTTTCAACCAAGCAAATGGAAATTAGGAAAATCAGTATGAAATTCAACCATTAATATCAGTTTTAAATTTTCAGAAAATTAATCACTCATAATGAATCAATGAAATATAGCTTAAGATACCTGTCAGAAAAATTGAACATGAGATTTACAGAGGCACATGTAACTCTCACTCATGATATATAATGGTTCACTGACAAGGTGCGAGATATCTGCAAGCAAACTTTCAACATACTTTAAATGTTGCACATAATATTCACAATGCACAGTAAAAAAATAATATTTTGAACCCAACCTTCTTACTGTACAGTATATAGCAATGAAAAAAAAAACATTACTTGGAAGAGCAAAGTATAATATATCCAGCTGAATTAACAATAAACAAAAAAACCCAATATTGTATGTACCATATATATGTATGTATCTATGCATGCATTTATTTACATTTTGTTTCACTGCACGAGGAAGAGCTTTTCATCAATTTTCCATTACTTTATTTGCATATATACTGTGATACAAGCAATTGTGAATTAATATTTCAAAGTTATTTGTTCATCTGCCAATGAACAAACATTTGGAAACATTGTGATGGCTTTCATCACATTCAGATTCAGATATTTATTACATCAAAATGTCTGTGCATCACGATAATTGGTTTACAATCTTCAGGATGTAATTGTTTCAGTTCTTGTTTGTTAGTACTGTAGATTTATTTTGCAAAACAAATACAAAAGTTCAAACTACACATAAAAAAGTTTTCCAAAGACAAAGATTCTTATATACAAATATATAGAAAAGTATTCCAGTACAAGTTTTCAGTATTTGTGTTACTAAATCATAAATGCAGGTGTGTGTGCAGGTGCACATTATTCACATTTCTTTATTATCTACTTCAAGAGTTAATCCTTTAAATTATACAATTGCACCAATTTATTGCTTGGTTTCACTAAATGAGTCAAACATTTAACAATTATAAAGATATTCCTTGAAAGTTACTTTCAAAATATTGAAGTATGTGAAAGCTATTATAGATATTTTGTAATAGGTTGTTTTTCTTATTGAAAAAATGTACCAAGGACTATAGCCACTTGATGGGATTTGTATTGTTGGCTTCATTGACTTCTCTGAACCAACTAATGAGTTTTCTTGAATCTGTTCTTGCAATCGATATTCCACATGGTTTTTAACAGTATTTATTCTGGATGAACAAATGATTCTTTTTTAAGGCAACAAGCTTTTTTCATTGGAAATATTAGCCTTATTCTATAATTTATAGAGGAATTCACTTCATGAAAAAGTACCAATTATAATTAATAAACTTAGTAGACCTTTAAATGCTATCATACAAATGAATCAGAAAGTTTATGGTTAAAGTTAGAGAAAATAATAAAGAAGACATACAGTAGACCCTATGTTCAGTCAATGGAACATTGCCAAGTATGTTGAATGTTTTCATCTGTATCTAATGTTCAGAATCTGTCAACAACACCTACATTATGAAGATAAAAAGTTAACTGCTCTATGGATGATTGTTTCTGCATTCTTCTCGATTGGTACATGAGGTATTTATTGAAACATGTTGAAGCCATTTACATTATGGATTAGAAATTTCAATTATTATTTTTTTTTTTTTATGGGAATCATCCAACACAAAGCTGTTGCCTCTAAAAGGTGTGAGTAACAAATGAAACAAATTGAAAAAATAACTAGATAAAGTAAATTATTTTAAATTTATGATGACAAACAAAATAAGTCATATGATGAGGAAGTCTGAGGCAGTACGATAAGTACGGTAGTGTGTGAATGAATTATAAAACTGACTGAAAAATTGAATTAGTGTGTTAAAATGGTATCTTAGGTGGAACAAGATTTGACAAACACTTAGACCACCAATTAACATGTTTCAACTATCATCCTGGGGTCGTTTTCAAGTTCAAGTAGGATACGATATGTCTAAAAGGCAGCAGGGGACAGAAGGTTTTTTCACACATGCTTTCATTCCGACACAAAGAATTATTTTCAAACCGAATTCCACTCTTTGTGAGGGTATGAATGCAGGTGCAAAAATCACTGCTAAATAAACATCTCCAAAAAATGTAAAAAAAAGAGAGGAAAAGTAAAACCATAACAAAATGTTCAGCTTAGTCTATCCAGAAACAAGCTACAGTACCGTATTTGGAATAGTGAGTGAAGCCGCTATATGATTCTGTAGAATACAAGTTCTTTAGTCATCAAGCAAACAACTGAAAAACTGATATGGAGCTATGGGCTCAAACTGCATCAATGCCCAGTTTGGGAAAGTCCTATAGCCTTGAGGTTGTACATATATAGAACAAAACTCACTGTTCAGTTTAACAAACTGTTGTTTTACTTCCAACACATTCTTCTAGGACTGTTGTGTTACTTTCAACACATTCTTCAAGGGGATAATTATGTCCAACAATGAAGATGTTTTTCACATGACAATTTAATATTTGTTGATCACTACAATAAGAATAGATATTCAAACATTGCTACTAAAGTATCAACAACACATACTTTAAATCTCTTACGAATGTAAAGTTACTGGAAAATCTAGCACCTACAGTTTACTTTTTTCTTATAATTGAATATTTTGCATCATCCTTGAGAATAGTGTTCAGCCTATTTCTAGGTTCAGAAAAGGTATTCACATAATCATACATTACTATAATTGACTGTACTATAGCAACCCTTTTCCATGCTTATCAGGGCCATGTATTTTCCCATATAAATATCAAAATATTTTATTCATCATCTTGGAGGGGTTTATTATACCAAATTCAATTTGAAATTCTATCCAAATTTAATTTCTTATTATTGATTATTAGCAAACTTTGAGAAAACATGTCTTTATTGGAAAAATTAAAATGAGCTCAGTTGGTAGAACAACCAAGCGATCGGAGAGTCTTGGTTTGAAGACCGCTAGGTACAAGTCCACCTGTTGAAATCCAACATTAAAGCAGGCATTAAGCCATTGGATCATACATCCTTTCAGAGAAAAATCTTTATTGAAATTTGTCTAATCTGAGAATGATTGGAACTTTGATATCATCCCCTGTGTGTATAAATTTAAACAATTGCACATGTTTGCTACACCTACTCTAACATTAATCTGTTCTTTGCTCTTCATGGCAGTCTCTACTGAGTGACCTTCAGTGACCTCCAAAGCTCAGCATTTTCTAGTCTGGCCTGCTGCCCATCTTATTAGACAGTAAAACCAACTAAATACAGTATAAAAATGGAATAAAGGAGATTCAATGCAACACTGAAATTGCAGAAATTAATAAAACTTATTAAATTCAAAATAGCTTGTTCATCAAAGGCTAACCTTTCAACACACAACATCATGGGATATTCCCGCGGAAATAGTCTTGTCGGCTGCCCGATAGTCTTTGACTGATTGTTGTATATTCATTGTTTCACTCTGACCAAACGTTGTAGTGTAACACTACAACGTTCGAGTCAGAGTGTAACACTACAACGTTCGGGTCAGAGTGAAACAATGAATATACAACAATCAGATCAAGACTCCAATTCAAGCTGGACATACCATATGAGAATCTTCAAATACGGGGGCCCAAGACGCAGCTTGTCCATACTTGTACTTCTCCTCCGAGACTCGTCTCCCGTCCTATCAGGAGATCAACAAGATTTTTCTGAGGGAACGTCGCAAATGTTGTATGTTGAAGGGTTAAATATCAATTTCTCTGAATTAATGTTTTATAGTGCTCATTTGAAGGTATATCTCTACAAGAATGCATCTCTAACAAACAACTGATTTGGAAAAAGTTTTTATTAATTTCAAAAAAATCTGAATCAGCACTCAGAATACTGATTTTGATTCAAATTCTGTGCAAGATTTGTTTATCTTTAGTGTTTTGTTCAGTTCAGTACTCTAGAAAATGTAAACAACGTACATTCAAACATGTAGTGATCAATACCGATTACCTTTCAAAGAAGTGAATGAGCTCCATTGTTGTTGTTAAAGTATGAACAAAACATGCAACCTTGTATGCTAAAAGCCTCCAGTGATCCCTACACAGATTAGCCAGATAAACTACAAATAAGATCATCAGTAGAGGCTAAAGATGTCAATTCTCATGATTCTATAAAGAGAATGTAACAAGGTACCACTAATGATGACACATTTCAATGCTAATTTATAAAGACCCAATTATGAGGCACTTAATTTCCACTTATTCTTTACTAAATTACATACCGAGTATTAAACATAATATTATAAGGACAGGTTTCGTTGAAACCTAGTATTTCTTTTTGATAAGGTGATTGTTTTCACCTTAATTATTAGTTGCGTTCCAATACAAAGTATACAGGTAAATAAGAAATGAACCATGAACATAACTTTTATCTACAAAAATTAATTAAGAATATACAGTACATCACTTTAATTTAATAATTATATCTTTAATGTTACTCATGGCATTCAATGTATTAAAAAGGATAATTCAATTAAGTCACACTATTGACCGGTTTTTGCCACATTTCTATGTAAATAATTATGAGATTTGTATAAACACTCATAATTTCCTCAATTTTTATCAAAATCTGTTACTTCTGAGGTGTCACCATGCTTTTACAAATTACTAAACAACACATTCTATAAATCTGTCTGTGAAAACAATAACACAATTTAGCTGCACATCCTCTCCCTGGGCAAACCCACATACTAACATAACAAACTCCCTGGGGCAAGGTTATCCTTCTTACTCAACAGGATGGGCTTACATGAATGAAGTGGAATTCTTTCCAAGGATAAATGCCAATATTTCTAGACTACCCAATACCATCTATGAATAATCAATACTGATTGAATTAAAGAATGTTCAATAATCACATCGTAAGAGAACAAATACCAAGGTTTAATTTGCATGCATTCAAGTGTTTCAATCTATAATTTTAGACCTGCAGTAAGAGAAGAAACATCATGGAGATATGCCTGTGTTACAATTATTATGTAATTACGGATTGTGTACTACAGATAAGCATGTGCTTTTGCATGAAGTTTCTCCTTTGTGTGACTAGTTTGCAAAATTAAAAAAAAAGGATTAAACTTGAATGGTTCCATGTGGTATAGCCCCTGAACCTCTACAAGGGAGCACAACTACTCACATCAGACCACCCCACTAACCATTGTTCCATAACTTATCATAGGTTCTGCCCAACCCTCTTGTAGAATAGGAACTCAATTGTCACTCATGCCCCAACAAGTAATCATGGATCCTTCACTGTTTCCTACAATAGCAGTTTCCACAAAATAAAAATATTAGTCAATTCTGGCAATTTCATATATTGGCATCAGTTCAGACAAAAATTCAAGCCTCCAAACAATAAGGAAGTAATTTTAAACACAACAGGAACTTAAAAATACAGAACATCAAGCTAAAAATAATCTTTTCAAATTAAGTTTTACACAAATCTCAACTGGTTTTCGTTGTAAAAATTTCAGTAAGTTCTCCAATATGCAATCCACAGGGATGTTTCTTAAAATTATTTTCACACAGATTTTCATTCTACATTAAATCATGCGTTATTGTGTATTGTTATATCAAAATGTTACCATAGCTACCAGTCTAAAAGAAGGCCAGTCATAGGCTTACTCTTGGGACTAAAAACTAAAAGACAACTGAATACTGTTAGGTTCAGTATTAGGATCTATGGTTCACTGATTTTAGAAGATATTTGAGAAAGTTTCCACAAATATAATGGATATTTAATCATTTCATTCAATCAAAAAAGACTGTGTGCAACCTCTGTATGTTTAGATCCACATGCTTTAAAGTCTTAAAGACATATTCATTCTGCAAGTATACATTAAAATGTAACATCCTGTTTCAATGAGGGAGGATTATATTTTTCTCTTTTCTCTCCCCGATGGGGGCCCTGGTCCCCCACTGGCGCTACCACTGGTCTCAAGTAAAGTCGGATAATCGCTGCATCATACAATGGTGGTACAACCGCCGATGACTCCAACTCTGCTCCCTGTGAGTGATAGATGGCATGAAGCCGGCTTCTGAATGTTGGTGGCAGTCTGAGGTCGTGTTACTTTCTCCATAGAATCGCATCAGTGGACGACCGCCAGTCGCAGCGAGTGTCCGACTTAACACATATAGTGTGATTTACCTATATATGGGCATGCTGGTATCATATAATAATAATAATAATAATAATTTGGATTTGTAATGCGCAAAATACATAGGTCTCTATGCGCTAGAAATTTGCAAATTAAAATAAACTAAAGAGATGAGTCATCCATATATGGACAAATCACATATATTTTCCACATAATTCTTGATGTGTAGCTACAGCTTTAGACCTACCTCTAATGACTAAACTGATCCATGTGAAGTTAGAGCTTCTGTCCCAGTTTGTGAGTGGTTGAACTGTACATTGATAATATCCTGCATCCTCAACGGTGATGTCACTCATTTGTAAAGACACGCCGTCTTCAGCTACATCAAGGCGCCCTGCATACCTTGAATCTATGTGCGGAGCATTAGGGGTTAGGAGGATGAAGATGGATTCTTGTAGATCGCGGCGCTTCCACTCTAGTAGGAAGGAACCAGTGGCACGTTGGTAGCATGGCAGGATGGCAGACTCTCCAATACTGACCTCTACAACTTTGACAGTCTCACCTGAAAGAATTTAAACAAGATATTGATAATCACTTGAAAAATTAAAACCAAATGTATAAGTTCGGTTATGCTGTACACACAACATCAAAGCTGAAAGAGAGTATACAGCAAGTCTACAAATAACAAACACAGTTGCCTCTATATATGTTGCATCTGTTACATCAACCTATTCACAGTTGCCTGTTATCAAAGTTTTAATTTAAAGTTTAATTTTTTAATGTTTTAATGTCCATAAAGCATTAAATTATTTGAATGTCAAAATTTCTAAACCCCGAAATATTTTAATATCCGTTTTATATACTTTGTATTGCAAAGAGTGTTTTATTGGAAATGGTATGATGTTTATTGGAAAAGGTATGCAATATTTATTTTCTAGATAAAACAATTATTTACTATAAATATAATGTGCAATGTTTTTGCTTTTCCATGGAAACTCATTACAGTAGATATTATGCTTGTGGAGTTAGTAATAAATAAAATCAAATTTGAATTATTTATCTATACCTAATATATAACCCTTGTCATATTTAATAGATTAAACTACACTGAAATTACTTTTGAACTCCTTTGAATTTCAATCTTAAATTCACTATTTTTCATGCCCTAGATTTCCCAGAGGGAAGCCCATTGAGGGAATCCTGAGAAACACTCATCCAATGTCAGACCATGGAGGTATGAATATTATACCTCCATGGTCAGACTAATAAGTTCAATGCTAAGGTATCTCAAGGTTGCCAGCAATCAACAATACTATCAAGGTCACAAACACTGGACATGAACATGTTGATAACTGGTCTTGTTTGAATACCCTAGTGTAGTATTAGTGCACTGATCTGCATGATTTCTACCCTCATGGAGCTAATTTTTTACAGAATAATATGCATGAGGATTAAGATTTAATGTTCAATAGAATTTCAAAATAAAGAACTATAAGGTACTTGTAGTATAAGGTACTTATACAATACTTCAAAGTTATTTTGTAAACAAGATAGGCAGTAAGGTACAAGGTTGAGAAATTGATGCGATGATCGTTTCTAATGACAATCTGCTTAGACTGCCATCAACAAGCAGCAGATAGCTGAGCATCATCAAGCACTCATACATTAGTTGTACTATATTATTAGCATGAATGCATCGTATACAGGTGAGGAGGGCAGGAGTAATTCCCCATCAGACATGACAAGTTCCCCCATCGGCCATGACTTGTTGGACCAAAAATAGGAAAAAATTAATTTATTTCATGAATTATTCCATTGAGAAATTGATGCGATGATCGTTTCTAAAGACAATCTGCTTAGACTGCCATCAACAAGCAGCAGATAGCTGAGCATCATCAAGCACTCACGAAGGGCGGAGATGGATTCAGCCGCAACCACTGCAGTGTACAGTACATGCCCAGCTTTACCAATAAAATAACCTAAATAAAGGTGATTCTTACATTATGGCACAATGCCCTTCCTTATTTGGCACAAAATCCCTATTCTGCACTCTGAATTCAATGAATATTGGAATTTCTGTAGTCTCCCTGGGAAATATCTATAATTCCCACCTGGGTGTATCCCAGTATTGATTGCTCTGCTTATCAATTTTATCACTTTTATGCTTGTCAATTCCTAATACTTTTTCACTTTTAATTATTGACATTTTTGAAATAATTGGTAGCCACATAATGCCAAGCTAGTCCCATTCATAACAGATTGATTTATATTTCAGTAAAAAACACTAACAAAATCCTGATTGTATAAAATACAGTACTCCATTAAAAATACTCCAGATACTAAAGTGATTTGTAAGGAACACCAAGGAGGGGAATACTTCACATCCTTCCATTAATTGAACAAGATTTTCATTAATGTGCAATTAATATTTTAATCTGAGATTGTACTATTAATTATGAGTCACATTTTTAATTATTAAATGAGCTTATTATCTAATCTGCATTATCAAATTTAATCAGCTCTATACCATTCATTGGTATCATAATACTATTATTATCTTGCATCATAATCTGATATTAAGTTAATCTTATTATTTTTGCAATTTAAATAATCACTTTAATTAATCAACCATACTACTACACCTTAACACATTGAATTTCTGCCAGCAAAGATATTCCAGTTGCTGTCATGGCAACTAATGACAACAATTGTTGACGTGTCTTCTTGCTTGCTTTACCCATCAAGGCCTGATTATCGACTAGCATTGATTCTAGACCAAGTTCACTCTTAATTTAATGTAGTGGGAGGAAATTACAACAGGTATTGGTATATTTACAGTGGCGTGCTTAGCTCTTCATTGATCTTATTTATCAGTTCATTACATCACGTAAGGTTAGGTTTGCAATGTGTCTTCAGTTTTCCACTGATCATATTTCCATAATTCACTATAAGTATCGCAACTTTATCTATAGCATCTTTTCAGTTGTTGTGGTTACCACCTTCATCATGTTCAATAATCATATGCTTATCACTCAGGCAACGTTTTATAGGAAATCAAATTTTAATTATTTGATATCAAACTATATTGTTTGTTTTGTGGATTTATTACAAGGTATCAGTGAATAGATGATGTTTTTACAAGCCAATAAAATAATATGATCTGATTATCAATTCATAACAGTTTGTGTTCTTAAATTAAACACCAGTTTTTAATGGCATGACTATGATTATTAATAAAAAGAACTCAAATGAACTAGTAATTCCTCCAAAATATAGTTGAGGAAATAATTTATTATGAAAACAAGTATGTTGATTAATCATATCCTATTTTAATTTAATGCAAATTAATAACATCCTCATTCTCATCACCTATTGTATGTTGTTACTACAATTCCCTAAATATCATGGTTTTGATTTTTATCTACGTAAGTTTTTTTTTACATGTCACTCAAATATTCAGTGCATTAAAGTGTTATTTATGTAGAAGAAATATCTACATATGATTATTATATTACACAATATGCAGATGACTATCCTTAAGCATATATAATCATTGTCCAAAGCATTCTTCTTTTTTTATGAATCCTTTAATAACAAACATCAAATTATTAGACAGGTAGTTAGCCAATCAGTCCCATGTCGTGGGTGTCTTCACTGGAGTGTATCAAATAAACACAGTATTCTCAAGGAAATGAACCGAAAAGTAGCAAAGTAATTACATTTTATGGGCTTACAAAAAAAAGTAAAAATCCACAAATGAACACACTTAATTGTTAAAAGAGCTGTTTTATGATTTTATAATCTTAAATCATTTTACACTTCAATACTTTCAAATCAACAGGTATCTATATATATATGAAAGGTATATGATTCAATTTGAACAGCTTGATAATAGTATTCCTACAGAAAAAAGGTACCACCATAATGTTTACACGCCGAGAGAAATAATTTCAGAAAATTGTTGGTGTGCAAACCCATTATTTGGTATTACTTACATAGACAGTTAACATTATAAATTATCAATTACTGCAATCTTTATGATACCATGTTTTGATTAATATTGAGATATACTATCATTATTATGGTTTCTTTAAAATGAAATAGAAGCATTATTACTGATACAATACAGTACTTCATAAATTAAGGTAAAAAATATTTAGACTTATAAATATGCCAATACGAAATAAACATTAATATCAATCCGAATTTCTGCATATATTGTTATAATCCAGAGTAGGCTTTAATATCATTTAGTTAGACAACTAGTTTACATTTTTTTTATAAGAACCAGTAAAATATTCAGGCTTAAAATGTTCTTACTTTACTTATTATTCAAAGATTCAAAATTATTATACTGCAGTATATTACTGTACTGTATTAGAGTGTATTACATAGTCACACCTACTGCACATAAGGTAAGATAAGGCCAACAGAATTTTACCGTATAACATTTTTTAACATTAACCTTTAATGTACAATATGTGGTTAGCTTGATTTGTTGGTTTTCCTTGTTTTTAAAATAAGAACCTCATTTGAAATTTTACCTCAGCCTCAACTTGTTCTTATTGTTTTTATTTTTAAAGCATTTTCAGTGTCAGTACTTTTACAAACTGTGTTCTTATAAAAAAAAAAGGATATTCAGTGCTAGACCCCTTTAAATTATATTCAGAGTTCATAGCCTCAACCTTCTCTACCCTCCTACCATAATAAACCCTGGGAATCTATAAAATAATTTAATATATATCCTTTTATTTTCAAAATTTAATCCAATTTATGAAAAGGTTTGGCAATTTCAAATAGGCTTTAGGTTTATTATAATAGTATTATCATTGTTCACACTAATTCCTCTCAATGTTTCATGGTTTTATAATATTCCCTAAGAGATTAAACCAATCTGATAACATTTAATTCTTTTGACCTGTTTCACAATTTTAAAAAGAAGATTCATTATTGAATAGGATGGAAAATATTTAACAGAATTTATGACTGGAAAGATTTAGAGGTCAAAAGAAACAGAGCCAAGAATGTGACAAAGGCCTAACTTACTTGTAAAAATGCTAGCTTAAACAGAATTCCAGAGGCATACAGAAGGAACATTAAGATCTCCCTTGGTACTACCGACCAATCAATCTAAACATTATCAGACAGGCATATGAGTTTCTATAGTCAATTTGGTCTGTCTCATTTGATCTTCTTCAGGCTATGTTCACTCACACCAGCTAACAGTTAGCAGGATCAAGATACATGCTCACCTTTGCTTTCATACAAGAAAATTCCCGATCCAGATCAAGATGATGACGGTGAGATCACTGGCCAATAAGAAACTGGAAATTGGAAATGCGTACATGTGTTTAATGATAGAAACACATTAAATTTGCTAAAAGATAGCACTAGCTAACCTTTAGCATATCCAGATCCTGGTAACGGTTAGCGCTAACCGATCGGGTATTCTCACATGGATGCTTACAGTTAGCGCTAACTGATCAGGCTTTCTCTATGGATGCTTGTCTAACGGTTAGCCCCCGATCTCAACGTTAGGGCTCTAGTGTGAACCTATCCTCA